GATGAGGTTTCACCATGTTGGCCAGGCTGACCTCGAACTCCTGACCTCAAGCGATCTGCCCACTTTGGCCTCCCAAAGTGTTGGGATTATAGGTGTGAGCCACCACACTTGGCCCCTCTTAAGATTCATTCTAATGTCCTTTTCTTCATGTAGCCTTTTCTGAGCCCATGGATGTGAGCCTTCTTTGAAATGCCCATATGTCTTTGTTTATGCCTTTTGTATGATCTTTTTATTATTTTATGATGGCATATATGGTTAGTTTCTTGTCTTCTGTCCCTGCTAAGTTGCTAGTTCTTTGAAGGCAGATGATAAATCATACTCATTTATATGCTCATTAAATATGTGCAACATTTAATAGAAGTGCATGAATAAGATTTTCTACCTTGTAAAAATTAAGTAACAGTACATGGTTGTACATATGGTATATTTTTATAATTATTGGAAAGGTATAAGAAAAAAATGAAAATTCAATTTTGCCCATAGAAATTGTTTTAATAGTGGTTTTTTTCTTTTATTTTCTTTGTTTCATTTTGTTTGTTTGTTTGAGACAGTTTCACTCTGTCTCCTAGGCTGGAGTGTAGTGGTGGGATCTCAGATCATTGCAACCTCTGCCTCCCCAGTTCAAGCAGTTCTCCTGCCTCAGCCTTCTGAGTAGTTGGGACCATGCCTCGCTAATTTTTTTCATTTGTATGTTTAGTTGAGACAGGGCTTTACCACGTTGGCCAGGCTGATCTCGAGCTCCTAACCTCAAGTGATCTACCCACCTCAGCCTCCCAAAGTGTTGGGAGTACAGGTGTAAGCCACCACACCTGGCCATGATAACGGTTTCTGATCAAAGATTTGATACCCAGCTTTTCATAGAGAACATCACAGAATATCCAATTACAAGTAGCTTTGGGTTGGAGGTGTAATTTCCCACAACAAACATGGGGAACCTACTTTCATATGAGAGTGACTAGGCTAAAGCAAAACTAAACTGGTAAACTGTACAGAAAGGTAGAGCTATTTGCCAGGCTAGTTTCTAGTCTCTGTATATATCTGTTATTTCTTGAGACCAAAGCTAGCTCTTTATTCTTAATCTCTCCCAGGTGAAATCTTCAGAGACTTGCAGAAAGTGTGCAAATATGTGTCGTGTTCATTTATGTAAGTAAAGCATAATGGCTACATGGACTTAGAGTTTTCTTCTGTTATTCTAATTAGCTCTGAGGTGGTCATGATAAAATAATTCTGGAGAAAATACAGTTCAAAAGCTAGCTATATTTTTTAAAACTACATGCTAATGAGAGCCTTATAAATAACAGCCTGTGATCTTAAATTTACTTCATTTGCCCCATA